GTATAATTATTTTCTCATTTTAGGCATGGATTAGACAACTTTGTGGAAAAGATTCGAGTAGACAAAATGTGCCATCGGTTACCAATAAATCCTTATTTTCCCTTTTATGGACAAATTCAATGCTAAAAAATGAAAAATTAAGCACTGTGCTTAGTTCTACAAACTAACTAATTAAGTAGTTATGCATCCATTAAATAAAATTCTAAATTAATCAATTACTGAAAATAATTAAATTAAATTAAAACAAAATTGGTTTACATTTTCACGTAGTTAGCTTCTTCCCATCTTCGGTTCATATTGTTTCTAATCAAAATGATGGTCACCTCCTCCTCCTTCTCCGTTTTTACATAAATCAATCTATATAATAACTCAAAATCAAGTGATCCGAATTAAGCGAAGCCATATTCTTCTCTTGAAATCAAGGGTCGATGTATTCTTCCTCTCTTTTGCCAAATAGATTAATTTATTTCGTCGTTTTGAGATCATTTGTTTGGTTATTTAATTGCTGGTTGAATGCTATGCCTAAGGGTGCACCCCAAATGATCATTTGATTTTGACCCAGCAATTAAATAACAGAACAAATTATCTCAAAGCGACGAAATTAATTAATGTATTCAGCAAAAGAGAGGAAGAACACATTGGCCCTTAATTTTAAGAGAAGAATACGGCAGCGCTTAATTCGGATCACTTGATTTCGAGTTATTATAATTTACGTAGTGATCATAAACTGATTTATACAAGAATGGAGAAGAAGACGGTGTCCATTATATTGATTAGAAACAAATAGCATGAACGTGAAAATGTAAACCACTTAAAACTGATTTTTTTTAAATTTAATTATTTTCATTAATTGATTAATTTAGAATTTTATCTAATGGATGGATACCTACTTAATTAGTTAATTTTGCAAAATTAAGCACAGCATAAGCTAAGCTCGCTTCTTAGGGATCAAAACCGTTATATATATAGCATATAATTGATTTGATTTAAAATTCAACAATTAATTTTAATCACACGCCTGTTTCAATTTTACAAGTTCATATCTAGGCCATGTCAACCCTCTAAAAAGCTGCTTATTAAAAGCCTGTTAATATCTATGTCACTTCAAGCCTCTTAAATCCTGTTTGTCTCCCTTTAAAATATATTTTTTAATTCTCATACTCATTTTTAATTACATATTTACACAATAAAATAATTTACACGTAAATTCAAGAAAATTTCTTATTTTTTAGCCACATATTCTTCCGAAATCACTAATCAAAACTCAAATTTTTTCAAAATAATGACCATCGAATAGTGGTCAACTATTTCTCTAATAATGTGAGTTGTAATGATAGGAACAAAAAGACATGAATGAGATAATCTCAATTGAGCTAGCAGCCGCAACGTGAGAGATTGATTCCTGCCTCTTGCCAGTTATGAAATTGGACTCTTTGTGGGTATCAATATAACAGCTTTTGTACCCTGACTTGTTGAGATACATCTCAAGATTTACCTCATCCACAATACTCTATGGGATGGGATGTGCTGGGCTGGGCTGGGCTGGGCGGGGCGGGGCCTTTAGATGCACAGTTCCTTCAAAGATAAGACAAATATAAGAGAAGGGTAATTGGCGCAAAACG